GCATTAAGGTTTTGCGTTTACGTTGTTTGCTTGAACGTTTCTATGTGAATGGGCTTTTAACAGGGTGATGCGAATAGTTTTATGCATGGCAGAAGTAGAGTCAAGCAGAGAAGTAGATAGAGATGCAGATAGAGAGAGGCAGGCAAAACCCACACCAAAGCCCACGCGCAATCAGCAGCGGCGCAACCAACATTTGCTCTCAGGGTGGAATTTGTGTGTGTGGAGGAGGGGCTGGGGGATGTGGGGCAAACAAGTTTCTCGAGACTCGCAAGGAGCATGCCCCTCTGAACGCTTACATTGAATAACAGGTCCCTACGGTTTTGGGTTCATGTTATTTGCTTGAACGTTTCTATGAAAATGGGCTTTTTACAGGGTGATGCGAATAGTTTTATTCAAGGCACAAAGACAGAGACAAAAAGAGAAGAAGAGATACTGATAGAGGGCGGCAGAAAAAAAAGAGAATGGAATGCGGGGAACGGCGTGACAGTGACAGAAACATGAGCGAGGAAGAGAGAGATAAAGAGAAAGAGTGAAGGAGAGAGAAAGAGAGTGAAAGAGAGAGATAGAGAGAGAGAGAAAGAGAGAGAAAAAGAGAGAGAAAGAGATAGAGAAAGAGAGAGAAAAAGAGAGAGAAAGAGATAGAGAAAGAGAGAGAAAGAGATAGAGAAAGAGAGAGAAAGAGTTAGAGAAAAAGTTAGAGAAAGAGAGAGAAATAGAGAGAGAAAGGGAGAGAAATAGAGAGAGAAAGAGAGAGAGAAAAAGAGAGAAAGAGAGAGAGAGAAAGAGAGAGAAAGGGAGAGAGAAAGAGAGAGAGAAGGAGAGAGAGAAGGGGAGAGAGAAAGAGAGAGAGAGGAAGTGCGAGAAAAAGAGAGAGAGGAAGTGCGAGAAAGAGAGAGAAAGAGAGAGGAAGTGAGAGAGAACGAGAGAGAGAAAGAGAGAGAGGAAGTGAGAGAGAAAGAGAGAGAGAAAGATAGAAAGAGAGCGAGAAAGAGAGAAAGAGAGTGAGAAATATAGAGAGAAAGATAAAAATGTGGAGAAAGAGAGAAAGAAATATAGAGAAAGAGAGAAAGAAATATAGAGAAAGAGAGAAAGAAATATAGGGGGTGAAAGAGAGAGGGAGAGAGAGGAAGGAAGAGGGAGGGATTGAAATGTAGAGAAAGAGAAGCAAAGTGATATGCATAGAACGAAGGAGAGGGAGAGAGGCAGAGAAAGTCAGCGTAGAAACGTCACGGTCAAATGGTGCGTTGACAGGAGCACACCGCCGCAGCATCCGTTGCGCCGCCTACCTTGAAGCGCAGCTCCCCGACGGGCGGCTTGGCGTAGGGTATGCCCTGGTAGGCGTAGATGGTCCGCCCGTTGCGAGACAGCAGCACGGAGCCCCGCACCTTGCCCTCCGTCGTCTCGATGACGGGCGCGTCGTACGACACGAACGGGCTCTTGCTTCCGGTTTCTTCGGTCTTCTCCTTTTGGTCGCCGGAGCTCTGCTGCTGCTGTTCGCCGCCCGAGCCTTCCTTCTGCTCTGCATCTCCCTCACGCCCGCTCTCTTCCTTCCCTTCGCTCACCTGGTTATCGCCATCCGTCTTCGTCTCTTCCTGCCCGCTGGCCTGAGGAGCGTTTCATGGACGTTCATTTACAAATGAAGACAATTCGTGTTAGCTCATAATCAGTACAGATAAACATTTCTGTGAAGTTTTGATATTGTTAGTCGATTAAGGGTGTATCAATATTAAACACAGCTCTTGGACTGGCACTTAACAATTCCGTGAGTTGACAAACTTAGTACTGAAACGTTGCTGAATCCTATAAACTCAATTTTGATAATTTATGAGTTCTTACCATGGCTACTTGAAATGACAGTGAAATAAGAACCGTAAAATTCATTATTTGTTTCTGGAATTTATCAGTAAGAATTGTAATTGGAATATTCCCTGGTTAATTGCATTACAATACGAGGCATGTCTGTCTCGCAAATATGGCGGAATCACTGGCAATATTAATCAAAGAGACGCAATGTAGAGTTTTTTAATGTGTTATTTGTGATGAAAACGAGAGAAATTCATCGAGAAATTAAAGAGAGTATGATGATGCACGTCATTTACTATTCACATTATCAGCATGTATGTACTTGACGTGACAGCCCGTGAACGGGCTCAGGGCTACCGCCGACGTCCCTGCCTCACGGCCATGGGTTGAGGGGGTACGCGTGGACAGCACTTGTATTACAATATCAGTACCCAACAAAATTTCGTTACCGTAGGATATCGATAGACGTCGCTCCTTGACCAAGAATAGTCAGATGAGTATGTAAAACTAATGTTTTTACATACTGTTATTGGTCAATAAATTGCTGAATTACGCATTTTTTAAGTTTTCACTTGTCTGATATTTGTAAGTGATTGTTGTATAGCATAGCGAGAGTACGACGTTAGTACGAGGAGAGTACGAAGAGAGGCGTGACAAGTATTATATTCCTCATAAACATACAAAATAACGTAAGAATATTCGGCAAGAGGCGAAAAAACTCGGGAGCATGGTAACATTGGATCATTTCTTGTTATTGGCACTGTTGTTAACACCTAATTACCTTTCGTAATGTAAGCAATTTTTTAAACAGCGTTTGCAGTATTGGGAACATCAGTAGGACTGTCATTAAAATCTCTCATTTGTAACGTTCTCCTCTTCTTCCTGTTTCTGGGTATTCGAAATGTTTCCCGACTCCGGACTAAATGTCTCCAAATCATACGATATATTCGTTTTGTCAGATCATTACAACTCACCTTTAAATTCAATTAATAATTTACAGGTTAATGTTAATGATATTGTTCTTAGTTTTATTTCAAAACCAAGTGCTATTTTGCAATACAACCGAGTACGGACAGCTCTCGATCTTTCCTTCGCATTCCTTTGCCATGCCTTGATCATTATCACCATCGTCCTCCCCTCTCTGGCCTGGGCGCCGTGGGGGAGAACTTCCAGTAATCGAACCAGCCCCGTCATCACCGGCTGACTGACGATTCTGGGCGCGTCAAATACTAAGATCGTTTGTACCATACGTGTAGTGCATGGTTTTATCGTTTGAGGTCGAGACCTGGCGCTCACCTACCCATTCGGCTTGCGTAGTTTTTCCCAACCAGGTGTCTTCTACCGGCGGAGCACCGCCCCGGCCGGTACAAGGTTTAAGTTCCCGACTGGTCTCTACACATGTGCGGTAGTGTAGTGCATGTAAGTGAGAGTGTGTGTAAGTAAACGGTGAAGATAGCATGAGGAAGAGGAAGGAAATATCGCGCGCAGTCGTCTGTTAGGGTATTGCTCCGTCATTCGCCTGATGTTGATCGGAGAAACACCAGAAAACTGCCAATCAGAGTTCCCGGCCTTATTGGCAAGAATTCTTCTGCAGAAAGCGGCTGAATTGAACTCAACTCTCTAGATAGTGGCGAACATCCTTCCACTAACGGGATTGGAACCCTAGGACCTCCCAATCGGAGGCACTGTAGAGACATCAACCTGCGCCACCACAGCCGGTCGTCATAACCTGAATACACCGGCGGAGATCTTCCGAGGCCTATATTGCGCGGATCTACAAGCTAGCAGCCAGCTACCTAGCTGTGTGAGCGAGCGCTCACCTCCGGAGGCGGTCCGTCCTCCTGCTTGCCCGCGGCCGCCGCCTCCCCGTCCGCCACCGCCCCGTCGCCGCCGCCCTCGCCCTCGCCCTCGCCCTCCGCGGCCACCGCGCACCATTGCGCGCCGTCCAGCGCCAGCAGCACCAACAGCACCAGCGGCACCAGCAGCCTCATGGCGTCTGATCGCCTCCTTCGCCAGGACGGAGTGACCGGGCCGGCGCGAGGAGACGAGACGAGCGTAAGCCTTATCGCGCTTACGTAAGCAGATAGGCAGGTTTGCGCCTTCGCGTCGTGGCACCTTTCGGAAGCGAGACGTGGCCCGCGGGCCCGGGCAGATAAGCGGCCAGATTGCGCGAGAGATACGTGGCTCGAGTCGCGGAGATACGGCAAGTGATTTGCTATGATTTGTTTGGGGGAATGCCCAGAGGCGCAGCAGGACAATATCAATACGGTTGAACGGCTGAATAATAAAACACATTATTTAAAAAAATGCGGCTCTAGATTGGCTCATGGGCAGCGTACGAACTTCCCGTGGTATTCCCAGGTTTGACCCCCGATCAAGGTAAAAATAGAGTTGCTGTTTCCCTTTAAAATCGTCGCAGTTTCTGTAGCCGTGTGACGAAGAGAAGCTCAGGCAGGCGGATCTTGCAAGTTACGGTGATGAGAATACGCCTTGTTCACCTCACGTCGCTCTTACCCCCAAGAATTTAAATTTAACTAGTCCCAGGCGTGGGGGACACCGTTAGCCAGCCTTGGACTATTGACCCAAAAATGTCAAATACGTAATTCAAAATTTGTATTTAATAATGTAATCGACTGTAAGGTAATAAGTGTATTGTAAATAAGTATTTATTTTGTCTATAAAATTATGTCATTCAAAAACTTTGTAACCAATAATCCGATTTTCATGATCGGTGTTTTTAAAAACCCATAAAATTCATTTCTAAACGACTTTTGATCCATTCTGAGAGTGTAATTACGCTTTCAGTAGTTCAAGCGTGAAGTTGATAATTCGTTTTTACTGGGAGGGGCAGGGGGTGCGAATAGGAAGAATGGCCTTGCAGAGAAGGATGTAGTATGGCGGGGGTGGGTATGTAAATAATATTACTTACATTTGTATTCTGTATACAATTAATTTCTTTTGCCGACGATTGTGGT